GTTGTTACGCTTCTGATCTAGTTATTTCAAACAAAAATTTAACCACAGACTAAGGAGATGATGTACTACTCAATCAGTTTGACACATGCGCCTCAGTTTATACATTGTATCCCAAATAGGTGGTGTCGTTATGGCGAATTCAATGAACAAAATCTCAAGATTTTCAAACGGACAACCCTATGTTTTTATTCAGATGTCAATTCTGTTAATAAGGTAAGTTTGTAATTTATCTTATATTTAAATGTTACTTAGTTTGTGAGATATGCGAGGTTTAAGATAACACCCGTATAAATTCTTGTTGAATTTAAAGCTATCAGGTCACTAGGTGGCAATATTAGGTATTTTCTAAATAGCAAACATATGATACTACTTCTTTTAAAGACATAATACTTCCGATATACGAATAAAACCTATTGCTAACAATACAGGATGTCTATTAATAGGTGGAAATTTTGAAAAAAATGGACTCTATACTACACACTTTAACAGATTTCATTATAAAATTTTAAATCTTTAGGAGAGTCCAAGAAAGTTTTCTATGAAACTTTTTATTTGGCACACGGTGTACATAAATTTAACCAAATTTAACCAAGCCACCATCAAACAAATAATGTAGGAGAGCATCATAAGAGCATTTAACAAATCATTGTTAAATACTGTTATATAATTATCCTGGACTGTCATTATATAACATCATTTGGATAGAATTGTTTTAAAAAGTTGGGCCTTTTCCATGTTTATAAGTGCCATAATAAAAGTTACCAGTTTTTTTTTTTAAATAAAACAGCTATATTAAAATATGTCATATAGTGTGTCATATAGTATGTATGTATGTATGTATGTATATGACTCTTTTCAGCGCGTTTGTGCTACTTGGGAAGTCGCTATTATGTGCTGAAGCTCTTTAGAGACTCCCGAACTTATATATACATCACCATAGCCAAAATTAAATGTATACTGCTTCATTCCTCATTATTTGCCAAATACTAATCATTAGATAATATGATAGGAAGAAATTAACCAGAGACCGCTAACATTTAAGTCCGAAAATATAGTAAAGCAAAGCAAAAAAAAAGAAGATAAAGAAATAGAAAAGGAAGAAAGGAAGGCCATGGTAAACAATTAGCGATCATAATTTAAATTAATTTATTTATATAAAAAAAATACAAAACTCTACTGAAAACAACACACATTGTTCTGCTAAAAACAAAACTCTTTAAACAGGATGAAGTGGATGGAATAGAGAAAAAGGAATATAAATCCCCTTTTGAATAGACTGATCCTTAATTAAAGGAATCTGAAGTATTCCAATCCGCATTTCCGACCATGTAATTAGCTGCCTGGATTTTGCGTTAATGAATACAATTTTTCAGCAATTCGAATCGGTTTTGATTTTTTCGTATAAGGCTTTTAGAGTTGATTAATAAAACAGCGAAAAACTTTTATGTCGATTGCTTTGCTATTCGGAAAATTGTGTTTAGCGGGATAATAGAGGGCATAGCAATATCATTAAAAGTTTCGATGGATCGAAGTACGAAATATTTTGAAAAAATAATAGAATTTCGTTAATTTTTGGAAAATCGGAATGTGATGAAGTAAAGACAAAACCAAAAATTTTGAATTCATTTGCTTTTGTTGAATATTGAATATTTAATAAATAAGAAAAGAAATTGTATTGGAAATTGTCATTTTGACAGGTTATAAATTATGGTGAACGAGCCTACGCGGTTTTCGAGAAATTACTATTTTATCAACTTTTTATTTAGGCCAAAGTTGAAATTAAGTCATTTCACCCCTATTTCACTTCGAAGACAGCTGAAATTTTGGTTGGTTTAAAATGTGCGATAATACCAGTAAAAACAAATATAATGAAAAGTTCATTTCTTTAAATCGATCATGATATTTTATGATTATTTGAATGATATTTCATGTTAATTTTTCAAAGAAACTTCAACAGTCTACTGTAATACTTTTTACAAAACTTCAGAGCTTGACTGAAACTGGCTCGCATTTTACTCTGTACCTGCTTATATATTGTTTAAGGGGGCGGAGCTAAATGAGGGGCATAAAAACCGTATCCAATGACTGATTCCCATATTGGTGACAGGTAGAGACCTGAGTCGCGGTTAAGATTGTTTGGTTGTTTATAGGTTTCTAAAGACTCTCGGATTTTCCGTTGGTAGAAGAATTGATTATTGATATTAAATTTATTCGATAAAACTGAAATTCTTGCATGTAATCAATTCGTCTACCAACGATAATCTATAAACAAACAATATATAAGCAGGTACATAGTAAAATGCAAGCCAGTTTCAGTCAAGCTCTGAAGAAGCCAACAGGATGATTGGCGAAACGTCAGCAAGTTCGATTCAGCAAAAACCGACGCAGGAGGAATCCAGAAATTTTGTAACAAGATATTTCATGTAGAACTATAAATTAGGCGTTCCGAAATAAAACCTAACAATTAATCTTGTGAAAGCCACCAAAAAGGTTAAAACGGAGGAAAGAGAGAACTCATCAAATAAAGTTTTTATGAATTTGTTTAGGTTTTGCGGGTCAATAATTCAAGTGAACAAGATGAAGACTATTGTTTGATAGCACTGCTTTCTACTTCCTTCCAGCAGGTACTTTCTTGATTTGTTTCGCTATTAGCAAATTAATTATATAAGTTTTTCATTATTTAAAATTAAATTTAATAGATGTTGACATCAAACTATTATTATTTCTGCGACTTAAAACTCTCTTGATAAGAGAAAACAGGAGAAGTATTACCTAATTTTGGGATAAAAATGTGGTTGCTGATCTTCGCCAGGGAATTAATTGAAAAGATTAAGATTACTACAAAGTAGAGTTCAAGAAATCTCTTATTATGTGTATCAGATATCGCTAGAATACGGTTTGTCACAAGTTAATTATAAGAGAAATATTTTAGGCACTTCAGTCAGAAAAGTGAGTAATCTGAGTAATCATTACCATCTTCACATTGCAACAAGTCTTTGAAAATTGAATGAAGTTTTAGAAACTTACTTTAAAGCCATGACATGAAAATAAAAAGAACGGTAACCTGGAGGTAAAAAGCTAAAATCCGCAATAACAAACTGGAGCAAATTATTTTTCCAAAGCAGGGTTTGCATATACGCGGATTGGCGGATAATGAGATTGTGACAGGATTTCGAAGGATTATTTTGACGTTTTTGTGTCGTTTTCGGGGGTTGTTAAGAGCGGATCATCCCCGGGTTTTTGCTATAGCGAAAGGCCTTTGTCTTTTGTTTCCACTGATCAAAAAGTATAAGTGCAAACAGCTGTCGAATTTGTGACAGCCATAAACGAGACTGTGCAAGAAAAACGCGTCTATGTACTCAGTACATATTTTTTTATATATCTTTATTTATATATATATATATATATATATATATATATATATATATATATATATATATATATATATATATATATATATATATATATATATATATATATATATATATATATATATATATATATATATATATATATATATATATATATATATATATATATATATATATATATATATATATATATATATATATATATATATATATATATATATATATATATATATATATATATATATATATATATATATATATATATATATATATATGTATATATATGTATGATGACACTATACTCCGGGATATCATCCGTTCGCTCGTTGAACTCCGACTGGAATCCTGCATCCGACTGGAATCCTGCAAATCCTGCATCCGACTGGAATCCTGCATCTTCAATGCTCGCGCTCCGAGTGTTCGAAGTGTTTTCGGAGCGCGAGCATTGAAGATGCCAAGTGAGATTTTGGCGAAACGTCTGCAGGATTCCAGTCGGATGCAGGATTCCAGTCGGAGTTCAACGAGCGAACGGATGATATCCCGGAATATAGTGTCATCATATATATATATATATATATATATATATATATATATATATATATATATATATATATATATATATATATATATATATATATATATATATATATATATATATATATATATATATATATATATATATATATATATATATATATATATATATATATATATATATGTGCAGGTCATATGATACAGATGAAGTGGTCATAGATCAGCTGAGTTTCTTTTATAGCTCGTATTTGTAAATGACTTTAGAGGAAGTCTAGAGCATTGTAATAGGTTGTCCAAGATCAAGGGTAAGTTTTTTCTTTTGGGTATCATATCATGTCATATCAAAATTATTGCAGTAACGCTCAAGCATATCCATATTTTTTTTTAAATCTGCTAGGTTACAGTAGATTTCAAATTCCAGTTACACACGAAAGGATATCAATTTTTGACTGCTAGGTCGTATTATAGTGAATTTCAAAAGGTATGAAATTTATGAGACTATGTAATCGCACAAACATGTCAAACAAGATTGTAAGTGGTTTTCAAGAAAGCACTTGTTTTCTGAAACTATGCAGTGGTAATAGTAAATGACGTAATCGCGTTTTGATTGAAATATTTCGAACAGCGTGACGAAAACCGTAAATACAGAAATTGTAGCTCCCGATTTGACCTATAACATTATTTAATTCAATTTACTCTGAAAAAGAACAATGTTATTGTCTATAATTGAAAAACCCTGTAAATAATGGAAAATATGTCTAAAATTGAAGTTATAGTATCGGATATTCTGTGTCTTTTGGTTGAAGAATTTTGTCGGTCGGGTTAGTAGTGGATGAAATATTTTTTTTCTGGACGCCAAAATAACCAAGAAAAAATCAAAAATGTTAAAAAAATACTTGGTGCAATTTGATGCCACCCAATTCTCTACTGTTTAAATTTGGACACTTCGCTGCTAAATTTGAAGTTGATATTGGGAACACCCTGTACCATAGCTGAAAACCTTAAATACCGCTTTTTAGTTTTTTAGAATTTGCAAGTTACTAACTTTCCACCGGTCTCTGACAGAAACCTGCAAATTAGCTTTCGGGAAAAACGATGAACATAAATATAATACAGACGTATGCTCCCACAGCCGATAAGTCCACAAATGAACTTGAGGCGTGGTACACAGAATTGGAGGAGTTAATAAAAGTTACTAAGAAACAAGATCTTACAGTCATCATGGGAGATTTTAATGCGAAGATAGGCCAAGGGCGATTGTCGGATTTGGTTGGCGAGTTTGGGTTGGGCGACAGAAATAACAGGGGCGAAAGGCTCATTGAATTTTGCCAACAACACAACATGGCTGTAACAAATACCTGGTTCAAACATCACCCTCGCAGACTTTACACTGGACGTCACCACAACATACGAATACCAGGACAGTCCGAAACCAGATCGATTTTATTATTATAAACAAAAGATTCCACAACTCAGTTACTAACGTAAAAAACCTATCCGGGAGCCGACATTGGCTCAGATCACAGCCCTGTTATAACTAGAGTGAGACCAAAATGGAAAATCATTAAAAGGCCAAAACCTAAAGGAAAACCAGATGTGGAACTTCTGAGGGACGTCACAATAAAACAAAAAGTAAGTCAAGAACTAAACGAGCACCTCGCAAATATATCTCGGGACCTTGCCCTTACCACTGATGTGGATAGCACGTGGAAAGCTATAAAAGACATCTTAAATGGGACCATTGAAGCAAATCTGAAACCAACTCCTAAAAGAAATAGGAGAGAGTGGATGACAGGGGAAATCTTAAATCTGATGGACTCACGGAGGGAATGTAAAGCCGCTAATGACATAAATAAGTACAGACGTCTTAACAGAATAATCCGCATCAAAATAAAAAGTGCTAAGGAACATTGGATAGAAGCCAGATGCTCGGAAATAGAGGAATTGCAAGGACGTCATGACCATTTCAACCTACATAAGAAAGTGAAAGATTTTACAGCGACGAATAGAAAAACTGCAGTCCACAACATATTGAGCTCCGATGGAAAATTATTAGACTCCACAGAGGGAAAACTACAAGAATGGGAAAAATACATCAAGAATCTGTTCGAAGGCGCCAGAGCAGAGCCCTACCAGACGGACATGAACGCGGAAGAACCAAGTATTCTGAAAACCGAAGTAGAGTACGCGATAAAACAACTCAAGGCAAACAAGAGCCCAAGGCCAGGCGAAATATTACCGGAAATCTTAAAGCTAATAAGCGAAGAAAACCTGCTTGTTGCTCTCTATAACTGCGTTTATGAAACTGGCAAAATACCTCAAGAATGGTTAGAATCAATTTTCGTACCATTGCCAAAGAAAAAAACCCCAAAGACTGCGGAGACTTTCGCCTAATTGGTTTAATGGGTCATGCGTTAAAAGTCCTACTGAAAATAATTCATAACCGCATCTCTAGTAAATGCGAAGCGAACATTGGAGATGATCAATTCGGCTTCAGGAGCGGAATGGGCACGAGAGAGGCTTTGTTTAGCCTACTTTATCTGCTTCATAGACTTCGAAAAAGCGTTCGATAGAGTGAGACACGATCTGCTCATGGAGTCGCTTCGTGTCGTGGGCCTGGATGAAAAGGATAATACTCTAATACAGAACCTATATTGGAACCAGAGCGCTAGAATCAGAATAGAGGGATCCAAGTCCGAGCAAATCAGGATTGGCAGGGGAGTTAGACAGGGCTGCGTCTTGTCCCCTTTCCTGTTTAACCTTTATTCAGAATTTATATTTGACAGAGCCCTGGCAGACATCTCAGAGGGAGTCAAAGTTAATGGCGTGAACATAAACCGCATTAGATACGCTGACGATACTATTCTAATCGCCGACTCGGATGTGGGTTTGCAGCGACTCCTCGACCGCGTTAGCAATACCTGCGAAGAGTTCGATATGAAAATAAACGTTAAGAAAACTAAGGTAATGGTAATTAAAAAATCAAAGAATGTTCCACAACCAATACAAATAAATGGAAAGATACTAGAAGAAGTGGGCAGGTTTCAATACTTGGGATGCTGGATAGATAACAAATTAGACACAGAAATAATATCGACAATAGAACAATCCAGAAACTCTATTGTACGACTCAGAAAGCTCCTATGCGACTCACGAATCAACCTCGAGCTGCGTTTAAGACTCTCAAAATGTTATGTGTGGTCTACTCTCTTGTACGAACATGGACACTAAAAACACAAACCATTAATAAACTAGAAGCTTTCGAGATGTGGACATATCGCAGAATATACCACATACCACATACCACGAACGAAGAAGTTTTGCGCAGGCTGGGAACTGAACGAGAACTATTCAAGCTTGTGAAAGTCCGTAAGACTGCATACCTGGGTCACATCCTGAGAAACGACAAATACCGATACGCACAGCTCATCGTCAAGGGAAAGATGGAAGGTAAGCGGGGGCTGGGTCGGAAGAAACTGTCATGGCTGAGGAATATACGTCAGTGGACTGGCATGGACTTCGAAGGGCTCATAAGATCTGCTGAAGACAGAGAGAGATTTGCCACTGTGATATCCAACCTCCACTGATGGACATGGCAAGTCAAGAAGAAGAAGAATTTGCGGCGCACTCTGTATATTTTTGAAAAATTGGCAAGAATAAAAGTTTATGGAACCGCATCTTCTGCGTCTTTTGGCTCAAGAAATTTTTAGGTCTCGTAAACGGTTTTCGAAAAATGATCGAACAGTCGAAAATCGCGAAAAAAAGATGGATGTCGGTATCGAATGTCGCAAATTATTTTTGTCTTGATTTGATTTCGAATAGGAAGTGAGCTAGCCGTAGTGTATTGTATAGAAAAACAACGTCGCTGTCACTGCTGGGTTCATTGTTTTTAAATAGTTATTTTAACTGAAAAAATTATGGTTTGTTTTATTAGTTTATTATGAATGTATATAAGAGCGGAAAAATTCTACTTTCTACTGAACAGTGTGGTAACTCGATATTTTAACCCTGTTGTTTGCTGTTGTGGTCAACCTTTTCAACTTATTTTTTTTACTATTGTTAATACATGGTGTATCCAAATTTTTAATAAATCAACTTCATCACTCCATCACTTCTTATACTTTTTTACACCAAAAAGGTATACTCTTTAAATTTCGCTCCGAGTCGCAGTTTTCGAGAAATTTCGATTCAAAATTTTCAGTACATCATTACGTAAAATTAAAAATTCCATTTTTTAAGCCATAAATTTCAAAATAATCTAGGTAATGCATATAACTTTGCTAATATGACAGTACAGACCCTAAGAGCGTTTTTAATAATATTTATTTTGAGATTTTTGGAACTACAATCACATGATCAAAAAGAATAAGTGCAGACAACTGTCGAATTTAAACTTCAATGAAATCAATTTTATGGAAATACTAATTTAATTTTAAACTAAAGTAAAATACAAAAACTATTCATAGAAAAAATTCTGTTCGGCAATAAATGTTGAAACTGATTTTCATTCACTGTGATGCATTTAGAGACATGTTTATGGAAAGACTGCCTTATTTTTTTCGAAATGGTTCAGCGGCATCTTCAATCCTGTGCCATTATTCATCTCTAGTATGAACTATTCTTTAAACACTAGCAACTTCATACCCCCAAAAACAAAAATCAATAGAATTGAAATATGGATTCTTGCCTGAAAATCATTATTCTTCTTAAGCCTAAGGGTAGATCATCCAGAAAATCGGCGAATTGAGTTTGCAAAAAAATGAGGTGCACCTCGCCGTTTAAATTTGGTGATAATTCGATGGGTCCTAACATCAATTTACCATTATTATCATTTATCATTATCAATTCTTTCGCACCAGACCCGACAAAAACTAGGAAATTCCAATCTGACTAAAGAGCATCATCATCTAAAAGATTTTGTACAGGAGTAAAGAGATAACAAATGAACAACTCTACAAACTGCAGGATTGCTCACTTCTTTTTCTATTTTTGAATTCGAAATTCAGAAATTGGCCCGACTATAATTGCAATATTTTTATGGGTCTATGGAAAAAAAAGGAAATAATTACTGGAAATGATTAACAAATAAAAAAATTTTTTTTTCAGTTTACTGGTTTATATCCTATGCAAAAATTAATAATTAAATATAGTAACTATTATTGTAAAATAACTTGTCTCCGTGTATTCACAAAGGGAAAATGGAACAATTGGAGCAGTCTTATTTTTTAACTCGGCCAAATACATTGTCCAGGTTATTTACAAGCAAACTAAAACAAGAATTGAAAAGAAAGGAGAAAACTACATAATCTCATCTGCTGATAAGTTTTTTGAAGGTACCACACCTTTTTTTAACTTCCCATTCAAAGTTGAGTCATTGTTAGCAAAATGTTCTGCACATACTCTGCAATTTCTGTATATCTTTGACGCATCAGCCATCTTCTATATTAGGCTCTCGTTCCCTGTTAACTTCACCCAGGTATTGAACAATTCTGGACTAGCTTCAGGATTTGAGAAGCGATGTTTGGAGTTATTGTTAGTACCTCAACAATTGATAATGGAGCAATATATAGGAGAAATATTGCAATTCCTAAAACGAATAATAACAGTTGCAAATAACAATACTTATTATGTAACAATAGAATTTAAAATAGAAAATTAAACTTGTGATGAGAATAAGAAGGTGCTACCTTTATGATTTTAGTTGTACTCACGTGCGAGATTATTATCAAAGAAGCAAAATCACTGCAACTGCGAAAAAAAAAAAAGAAACGCACTACTATGCAAAATAGTCATCTTCACAATGAGAACGAGGCCCAAAATTTTTAAACGTTTCTGTCCCTTTCTGTCTTCGGTCAAAATTCTTGTGGAGGGATATAAGGAATTAAACACGGTAAGAAAAATTTCAGAGAGTGCCCAGGATATGAACTAACCAAAACTATTTACAAACACCCAAATTACAATTAGCGAAGAATTTCACCACAATTTAAGTGCCTTTACTGCATTTGTTTAAGCCAAAGCCTAGTTTGAAAATTTTGCAGATATGGCTCTATTTTGCTGTATTTTATTGTAATTATGGTAATCAAAGTCTACTCGGCACCATTTTGCATTTTCGCATGAAACTGTTCAATAAATTCTTAAAAACGGCGACTCCAGGTGACATTTTAGTGTAAAAAATTTTTAAGAAGTGATGACTTTATTAAAAATCTGCATAGACTAAGGCGTAAAAAAGTTAGGAAGTATTAAATGCACGAAAAGTACTATACGTAACGCTCTCTATAATTAGCACCAAAAATATTCACGAAAATGGATTTTTCACATCAAAAACCCCGATTTGACAAATTCGTTTCTCAAAAAACTCGACTGTTTCAGGAATTATCTGAAAAAAATGCAACTTGGACTCTCTGTAATAGCAACTTTTTTGACTAAGGTAAGTTACGTTAACTCGTAATATTTTTCTTAAAGAATCCCCTGTTTTGCCATGTACCATTACATATGGGAGACCCTGTGTTGCAGCAATGTATCTTATAAAATTTAGGAAATATATATTTCGCGTATATTAATTACAATTTTTTAGTTTACTTAGGACGAAAATTTTAGTTTTATTTAAATCCTTGCAACCCTCACAGCATAAGGAGAATTACTTAGGGTAAAAAAACAACTTCGCTTACTATGTACTTACCTTTTCTACTACGCTAGTCACTGGGATAAATAAATAAGTGACTTATTTTTCATATCTTTCACAATGGTTAACAGAATTTATGGGTTAGTCGTTTATAAGTAATGGGGTATATTCCTTACTTATATTTTCTCTCCAAATTTTTATAAAAAATATAAAAATAATAATGGAGCACGAATCACTGCCCCATTCTCCAAGTGGAATTAAAATTTCGAGTGACACAGTTTCGAAAAACACTTGAAAATAATCAAAGGATCAAATTATGTCCAGATCTTGTCCATTTTATCCCAACCACCAAAATTGCATTTCAATGTAGTAAATATTTTTTACAGTGAACATTGTGAAAATTCATTTATGTTTAGAATTTTCAGGCAGAGCCTCGCTTGATCGGCTTGCTATTAAGATGCATCCGTTCAGGTACCAAATAGCTAGACGCAGTGCGGTTTGCGATGCGGTCGCCTATTAACACGATCACACCCAGATTTACCGTCATGATGCTTAAGCCCACCCTATAAATTAATCGAGATAGCGGTTTCCGAAAGCTGTTTTCTGGCCGTGGACAACGATCGACGTCCGCCATTGTTACTCTACGTTTAGCAGGTTCGTGCGAAAAAATGGTGGCGCTTGCTATCTACACCAATTTTATGAAATCCAGGTCAGGAATGAATTTTTAATTACCGAAATTACCAATGAAATAAATGCAGGGTTTTTCACCTAA